TGGGGGGCCCTGAAATGAGTCATTAGAGGGACCCTTATTTCAGTGGGCTCTCATCTGAAAAAAGTAACGTTCTTCAGATATTACATGACTCTTGTAGGAAGTTCATATTTTTTAGAATTTCACTATAAACACACACTTGAGGCTGATCTATTCCAACAATTTAAAAACAAAATCAAGGATCTTCACCAATTATTAGACCTGGATTATTTCCAGCATAGGGACTGCATGCACAGATCTACTGTATGCATGAATTTGATACTAAGGCAAGCAGATTATTAGCTAGATCAGTATGCACAAAATTAGGGTGCATATACATCTGAAAACTTCGCTGCCCCAATAGGGAGTTAGTACATTCATCTGAAGATATTGTTTTGAAGTTGTATGAGTACTATATGACTCTATATAACATTCCTATTCCTCATATGGCCTCCATCAACACTCAAGGCCTTACACAGCTTTCTTAATACTGTATATTTCGACAACAGCTCTCCCTAGGTTGGACCAGTCAGCTGTGGAATCACTGAATACCACCTTTACCATTGAGGAAATAATCCAAAAGATTAAGGTGCTCCTGGCAGGTAAGAGTCCAGGCCCAGATGGATTTTCAAGTGTGTTTTATAAAAAAAATTTCAAGATGTCTTAGCTCCCATCTTAGATATCACATTTAACTCCATTTCAGACACGTGCCCTTTTCCTTGTCAGTTACAGGAAATTTATTTCACCCTTCTTCATAAGGGATTCTTGAATGGAACATTGCAGCAAGTCAGCCTATCTTCGGATTTCCTCCATAAAAATAATGGCTTTTTATTCCTTCCTTTCCTTCCCAACAGCATTAATTAAGGTAAATGGACTACTCTTGAACCCGATCCACGTATCACAAGGGGACCCACCAGGGATGTCCTCCCATTTTTGTATATACTGGCAATGGAGCACTTAGTGACCCCTTTGCGTGCTAGTGACTCATTACGTGGAGGGAGCATTGCTGGCAAGCAATATAAGGTTAGCCTATTTGCGGATGATCTTTTGCTGCACATTACTAACCCATTCATAGCTTTCTCTTCATTATTAAAAGAATTGGACCTCTTTGGCACTTTCCATAACTTAAAAATAATGAGTCGAAATCGTATTGCCTAGATATTTCACTTCCTGCAGGCACTTGAGATACTCTTACTGATAAATTTGCCTGTCAATGGACACAAGACTCCATTAACCGCCCTGGAGGTATTCCCAAGTGTAGCTCAGGGTAAAGTTTCAGCACCACAAGCGGTAACCCCGAGCTACACTCGGGAATAGCCTGCAGCGTTGCTCTGGGATCCCTCGATCATTTACCTTGTCCTTCGCTCCCGCGATGTCCCTCCTGCAGCGTCCCCGGCCATCTCCTCCGGCCGATGCCGGCATCCGTCTTCCCTCATCGGGACGTACAGGGATGTGACCAGCGGGAAATAAAAAATTTTAAAAAGTGACATTCACTAATACACGAAAATCACATAGTAAAACATTACTGTATCAAACCATTTCACATACATTTTATCCCTAGTGCTGTGTCCTGTGCCCTGCCTGCATTTTTACTGTTCTTTCTGCCTGGAAACTGAGAAATGTCCATTGCGTCCAAAAATCGTCCCTTTATGTCAAAAGCAGTTTTAGACCAGCTAAAGAACATTGACAGTAAATTAGAACCACTTGCAGAATTGAGTGATAATGATTCGTGGGGAAATTCGTCATCAGACACTGAAAACGATTTTGAGACTAAGATCAGTGATGTGTGAACTTGGTGCTATATTTCAGATTTCAGTGTTTTTGGTTTGATTACATTATTGAATTAAATGTATTATTATTATTTTTTTTTATGATTATTTATGAAATTATAATTTATGATTTCATGTTTCAAATTTTTTAACATACCCGGGATGTTTAATAGACTCTTGTCCGGACAGATTTCAGTGAGTTATTCCTAAGAATTACAGGCCTAAAATAAAAAAACTACATATTTCCTTGCAAAAAAGTACCTCCTTGAGCACAGAAATACTGACATAATCATACTGCTAGGGAGACTACATCTCTTGGAGTACAGATACCCTCACAATTTCACAAATTGCATTAGTTAAATTACTGTTCACTTCTATTTATTATGCAGCAATGCCTGAAGAGCTGGTCCTTAATGAGACATTCCTGGCAGGGATGGATGTCCCTCTTCAAGATGGATATCCTCCCTAGATTTCTATATATCTCTCAAACAGTTCTGATTCGGGTCCCACGTTCATTCTTTCAATTGGTGCGCTCTTTACTACTGAAATACATATGGCATATATCTTCAGCTAGAATCCGGTACAACGTTTTGGTGAAGAGGTGAGATGATGGTGGTGCAGGTCTGCCTCACCTGGAACTATACCTTGCAGCAGCACTGCTCAGTAGATGTTTTGCTTGGTGTCTGCTTAAAGGTTCTTGCAATAAAAGCCAAGGAAGCTTAGACCTCTGTTGTGTATTAATGTTTTTACTAAACAAAAACTCTGCACATACAACTGCAGAAAACACAAATCATAACAAAATATGCCTAAAACATGCACAAATGTACTATTTATGTGATAAGCATACACTAAAAGTTACTTAACTTAGTTCGTTCTGGTAAAGGAGTTTTCTCAAAGGTTCCAGGAATCTTCCTTCAGAGTCCAGAACAAAAACAACATATTTTGCTTGTTCCTTGTCTCCCAGAACAACTTTTGCCTCTTCTTCAAAGGCTATTTGAATGGGTTCATTTACATATCAGTAGGGGAGGTTTAGCTACTAAAACAGCATGTGGTCTTAAAATCTAACAATTTAACAAATATCTAAGCTATAAAAACCACCAAATATCCATAGCACCACAGTAGGGTCTTGGACAGGTTCCATAACAGCTTCTGTAAGCGGGTTACTTTTGAGTTGAATTTGTCATCTGTCCCATTGACTTCTCTTCCATGGCTGCACCTCAATGATCGTACACACATATCACAACTAAAGCCTTTGCTCTCCTACTTTTTACATGTTTGGGACAAGATCATCACAACACATGGCCTCTCTTCAAGGCTGGAGCCCTTAATACCGATATTGGATAACCCAGGGTTTCCACCTGGACTAGCAGAAAAGGGTTTTCTTTGCTGGCAACCTTCAGGCCTATTTGGCAAGCATGCACTCAGAAGGATCTGAAACCCTTGGGAGAGCTTAGCTCTCTCTCGAGCTCTCATGAAGGACAGTGGCTTCAATATTTTCAGCTAAGTAATTTTTATGACAAGATGGTCAAGGAATGGGTTAGATGGGACCTGACCCGGTTTGAGAATTTGTGTCTCTCTGACTCAAAATACCCAAAATGCTCTTTCTAAATTATATAGCATTCTTCTATCTTCTGCATTCGCTGATCAGTCGTTCTGTATCCGAGACTGAAAACGAGAATTAGGTCATAATATAGCATCTGAGGACTGGGACAAAGCCTTTCTCCTTACATTCAAAATAACTCTAGCTTCCCAATCGCAGGAAGGAAACTACAAAATTATAACTAGATGATATCAGTGCCCAGCTTTATTAAAAAAGATATATCAATGTTGGTGTGGATGTGGTGAACTGGGCACTACTTATCTCCATATATGGTGGACCTACCCAGTTGTAAAATCTTTTTGGATGGTCATATTTCAGTTAAGTCATTTGGTTAAAGACAGGACCTGGCCGGAGACCCCAGAGATAGCCTTTCTCTCTATAATTCAAGGGTCAATTAAATCTATTAAAAAAGGAATATTTAGATTCTTGTTCCTGGCAGAAAGAGCTCTGATCACCAGGCATTGGAAATATTCAACAATACCTACAATACAGGAACGGGTGGTGGAAGTAAACTATATCATGTGCATGGAGGAGTTACTAGCTATAACCAATGACAACTATGCCAAGTTTAAGGAAATATGGATCCCATGGGTTTAGTTTTTTCTTTCTCCATTACTGCCCTTTATGAGATAATAAGCTTTGGTATTTCCTCATTGGAAGTCATGTTCGGTCAACTCAGTTTGCCTGACTCTAGGATATAATAGTTACTGTCCTCGTCCCCTCGGAAGCGATGTTGGGTCGACATCACTTGTCGAACGCTTTCTCTCTTTCTTTTCTTTATTTCTCTCCCTCTTTTCTTCCTGTGTGCCCTTTCCCTTTTCCTCTTTCTTACTTTTTCTTTTTCCTTTCTTCTGGTGTTTTTGTTTTTTTTACTTTTCTTAATTGTTGAAAATTATGACCTTGATAGCAAATATTCTGCCTTTGTATAACTGTATAACCTTGTGTTTAACAGGTGTTGAAGGACAGGATTACATGTTGTTACTGCTAATTCTTGGTAGTATAATACAATAGTGTAATGGGTGTCAAGTGATATGTTGATTTCTGTCATAGTGCCATATTTTTCATTAACTTTTTTTTAACATGGTAGAACCTTTTTGTAGTTCAAGGGTTACACATTTTAGAATAGTTTTTTTTGTAAATCAATAATATATGTTTTTTTAAATATTGTCCCTGTACAACATTGTCTTTTTATTCTGCATTGTTTGTGTCGGTTTGTGATCTTGGTGTCTATAATACACACAATATAGACTCTAATTTTGACCTTGGCTTGTGGTGGGAATTTCATGAAGTTCTGAGCCAGTGACCAATTTGCCCATGACTTGAAGCATGGAATTGAAGAGCTGCTTGGTATTCACAATCATGCCCTATAAGGAGTGAAAAGTTTTGTGTCAAATTGACTCCCAGGTTACAGCCCTTGAGGGAAGTCAGAATGACATCTTTTCTTAGTTCATATTTTGTTTTCATATGTGCCCCATTCAACCATTGATGTTAAGCAGGATCCCTATGATGTAATTAAACTATATGTCAACACTCACCATGAAAAACAGACCATTCATTTTAAAATAAAAAAATGAAATGCAAAACAAGTATGTATACACATAAAAAAACAATATAAATACCTTATTTTTCTCTCCATAAGACGCACCTGACCATAAGACATGCCTAGGTTTTAGAGGAGAAAAAGAAGAAAAAAAAATATTCTGAACTAATGGACTGCAAACATAGTACAGGAGATGACCAGAGACTGCGGACACAGTACAGGAGATGACCAGAGACTGCGGACACAGTACAGGAGATGACCAGAGACTGCGGACACAGTACAGGAGATGACCAGAGACTGCGGACATAGTACAGGAGATGACCAGAGACTGCAGACACAGTACAGGAGATGACCAGAGACTGCGGACACAGTACAGGTGATGACCAGAGACTGCAGACACAGTACAGATGACCAGAGACTGCGGACACAGTACAGGGGATGACCAGAGACTGCGGACACAGTACAGATGACCAGAGACTGCGGACACAGTACAGGAGATGACCAGAGACTGCAGACAGTACAGGGGATGACCAAGAGACTGTGGACCTTTGGGGAGGGAGGGGGAGTGGGTACCTGAATTTGACAGGTACCCGCTCCCACTTCCACGGAGTTGTCCTCCCTTTAGTGTGGACACCCGGCTATAATAGCCGGGTGCCCACTGCGCATGCGCGAGAAGCGCTGAGCTTTGTGAATGGCCCAGTGTCTTCTGGGACACATGACAGGTCCCAGAAGACGCCGGGCCATTCACAAAGCACAGCGCTTCTCACGTATGCACAGTGGGCACCCGGCTGTCACAGCCGGGTGCCCAAACTAAAGATGCCAGCGTGGGAAGACTGTACAGTGCTGGACCGAGGAACAGGTAAGGTCCTGCTGCAGAGAAGAGCTGAGTGGCCGGCCTGGTATTCTGACACTGTGTCGGCGGCGGAAATACCAGAGTGGCCGATCCATATTCGCTCCATAAGACGCACTGACATTTTCCCCCCTTTTTTTGGGGGAAAAAAGTGCATTTTATGAATCAAAAAATACAGTACCTTTTTTCCCCCTTTTTACATCACATCAGGGAGGAGAAACAGCATTACACTGGTTTTCCCAGTTAATGGCTGTGCAGAGGGAAAGTCAGGAGAAGTCTGATCATTGGAGGAGAGCAGACTGACTTCTAGCAGTTTATGTGTAGCCAGTTTTTAATAGGAGTACCTGGCAGGAACACCAGGTATTTCACACAAGGGAAGCAATACACGAGAACAGGATACTCTTTCAAACAAGTACATGGTATAGCAGTTACAAATCAGAAACATGAAATTTGGGGTTTACATATCCCTAAATGAAATATAATCATGTTCACATTTGGTCAAAGATGTCACCAAAGAGACCCTGCCCCTTAGAATTTAGATGCAGGGATGGGAACAGATGTGGCACTTGGCGTTTTTTTTTTTCTTTCATTGGGTTGTTGGGCATCTGGAATCATGACTGATGTGGATCTGCATCGCTGGACAAAGTTATTTATGATTGATTTATATCAATGGCATTTTTTGGACCCCCTAATCATTCACATGGGGGGGTAATATCTGGATTATATCTTATTATAAAAGGGTGTATCAATATTCCAATAAGCTGCCTACCTGCGGAACCCCACAACCACTGGGCTAGGGTGTTGGAACCTCTTCCTCATCAACATGGGGACAAGGTACCCTCCCATGTTGATGGCATGTGGGCTGGTATGCTTCAGAAGGGAGAGAGAGCACACTTGCCCCCCTTTCCTGGTCTGTAGGGCTGCAAGCTAATAAAGATCTGGTGTGAATTTTGTGGGGAATACATTTTCTTGATTTTTTTGCATTGGATTTCCCCTTAAAAGAGAAGTAGGGGTTTGGTGTTTTTTGACCAGTTATACTTACCTATGTGGGTGCAGCATCAATCTGATTCTGCATTTGTACTCTCACAACCACAGCAGAAAGTGATGTCAGTCAATGCTGCATGCTCTGCCCCACCCCCCATTCTCACTGCAGCGCTGGGCTGTGGAGGGGGAGGGAGCGGCTGGCTTAGGCTGTCAGCGGATCACTGAGAGGCTGAGCCAGGCACCCCTGCAGACTCTGGGGTGACTCTGAGTGACGTCAGAAAGAACAGCACTTCTGTGATTCACAGGAGAAGTAGAACCGAAAGACTGTACTTGTCCTTTAAAGTCTATACTGGACCTGAAGGACCCAGTAAGAATTACCCCAATCTATTTTTTAGGGTCACATTATTATCCATATTAAACCCTCAACCGGAAAAGGGTCTGGTATTTAGACACACTTTCTTATTTTTAAATACAGATTTCTCTGTAGTAGATTATATTCATTGCCCCGAGGTGCCACTTCACAGACAGGGTCAGGTCCTCATGTCCAACATGAATTTGCAGAGCACCACTCCAAAAAAAAAAAAACTGAGCTAAGGCCTAAGTATGTGGATTTGGTCTGATGCCTTGATATCTCTCATGAAAGTCACACAATAATTTATGGACGTTTTGCTCATCCCAGGAGGGGTTTATCTTTTTAGGTAAACCCTTTTGTGCACTGCCACACTCTGTGGATGGCTAAGAGGGCCTGGTAAATGTTCATGTTCTATCATCTGAGAGTTCTACTTCTGTGTCCCGAGGCTTTGCATTGTCTTCATGTCTTTGACTGCTCTCCCAGCTGGATTCAGTACTGTTTTGAAAAGAAATTTCTGTTATTTAAGTAGTTTGGTCTAACAATGGTCAATACACCACAGATGGTCAAAGTGTATGCTTACATTTCAAGGATGAGACTCAGGAATTCTAGTTCTCAGGTGTATATATACTTCCCATGTGACTCCTGCCTGCAGGGCTATTCTCCCCATTTCATCCTGCAGTTACTGTTGATGTTTAGTGCACCCACTATGCAATAAAAATGTAGATCTTCTGAAACTACTTTGTGTTTATTGTTTTAACAGATATTTTACTATGGGAAAATCATTTTTACTACATCATCCTGATTGGCAACTCAACCACTTGCAATATTGTCCATCACATTTGTGTTCCACTTACAATATTGTCCATCACATTTGTGTTGGCATTAGGGACATACAGTTGCCAAGAAAAAGTATGTTTGAAGGTACCCCTTTCCACGGATTACGTGGAGTTTTGCATGGCTAATTGGGCATGCGCAAAGAAGCGCTGTGCTTTGTGAACGGCCCATCTAAGTCTGGGAACAATACAGAAGAACACCGGGCTGCTGAACATAATGCTCACTCACATTAGCACAGTGGGCCACCCGGCTGTCACAGCCGGGTGCCCAAACTAAAGATGCCAGCGTAAGACATTACAGTGCTGGAGCGAGGAAAAGGTATGGTCCTGCTGCAGAGAAGAGCTGAGTGGCTGGCCTGGTTGATTCTGACACTGTGTCGGCAGCGGAAATACCAGACGTTTCCGAGTTGCAGATTCAGACCTCACATAAGATCTGACATTTTCCCACCCCTTTTTTGGGGGGAAAAAAGTGCATTTTATGAATCAAAAAATATACCTTTTTTCCCCCTTTTTACATCACATCAGGTGTGAAAACAGCATTTACACTGGTCTTCCACAGTTTCAATGGCTTGCAGAGGGAAAGTCAGGACTCTGATCATTGGAGGAGAGCAGACTGACTTCTAGCAGTTTGTGTGTAGCCATTTTTTAAATAGGACTTGTACCTGGCAGGAACACCAGTATTTCACACAAGGGAAGCAATACACGAGAACAGGATACTCTTTGGCGGACAAGTACATGGTATACGCAGTTTTTTCAAATCAGAAACATTGAAATTTGGGGTTTACATATCCCTAAATGAAATATAATCAATGTTCCATTTGGTCAAAGCATGTCACCAAACCAGACCCTGCCCCTTAGAATTTATGATGCAGGGATGGGAACAGATGTGGCACTTGGCATTTTTTTTTTTTCTTTTATAGGGTTGTTGGGCATCTGAAATCATGATGATGTGGATCTGCATCACTGGACAAAGTTATTTTGATTGATTTATATCAATGGCATTTTTTGGACCCCCTAAACATTCACAACGGGGGGTAATATCTGGATTATATCTTTAAAAAAGGGTGTATCAATATTCCAATAAGCTGCCTACCTGCGGAACCCCACAACCACTGGGCTAGGGTGTTGGAACCTCTTCCTCATCAACATGGGGACAAGGTACCCTCCCATGTTGATGTCATGTGGGCTGGTATGCTTCAGAAGTGAGAGAGAGCACACTTGCCCCCCTTTCCTGGTCTGAAGGGCTGCAAGCTAATAAAGATCTGGTGTGAATTTTGTGGGGAAACATTTTCTTGATTTTTTTGCATTGGATTTCCCCTTAAAAGAGAAGTAGGGGTTTGGTGTTTTTTGACCAGTTATACTTACCTATGTGGGTGCAGCATCAATCTGATGCTGCATTTGTACTCTCACAACCACAGCAGAAAGTGATGTCAGTCAATGCTGTATGCTCTGCCCCCCCCCCCCATGCTCACTGCAGCGCTGGGCTGTGGAGGGGGAGTCTGTCAGCGGATCACTGAGAGACTGAGCCAGGCACCCCTGCAGACTCTGGGGTGACTCTGAGTGACGTCAGAAAGAACAGCACTTCTGTGATTCACAGGAGAAGTAGAGCCGAAAGACTGTACTTCTCCTTTAAAGTCTATACTGGACCTGAAGGACCCAGTAAGATTTACCCCAAGCTATTTTTTAGGGTCACATTATTATCCATATTAAATCCTCAACTGGAAAGGTGTCTGGTATTTAGACACACTTTCTTATTTTTAAACACAGATTTTTCTGTAGTAGATTATATTCAATGCCCAGAGGTGCCTCTTCACAGACAGGGTCAGGTCCTCATGTCCAACATGAATTTGCAGAGCACCACTCCAAAAAAAAAAAAAAAACTGAGCTAAGGCCTAAGTATGTGGATTTGGTGGTCTGATGCCTTGATATCTCTCATGAAGGTCACACAATAATTTATGGACGTTTTGCTCATCCCAGGAGGGGTTTATCTTTTTAGGTAAACCCTTTTGTGCACTGCCACACTCTGTGGCTGGCTAAGAGGGCCTGGTAAATGTTCATGTTCTATCATCTGAGAGTTCTACTTCTGTGTCCCGAGGCTTTGCATTGTCTTCATGTCTTTGACTGCTCTCCCAGCTGGATTCAGTACTGTTTTGAAAAGAAATTTCTGTTATTTCAGTAGTTTGGTCTAACAATGGTCAATACACCACAGATGGTCAAAGTGTATGCTTACATTTCAGGGACGAGACTCAGGAATTCTAGTTCTCAGGTGTATATATACTTCCCATGTGACTCGTGCCTGCAGGGCTATTCTTCCCATTTCATCCTGCAGTTACTGTTGACGTTTAGTGCACCCACTATTCAATAAAAATGTAGATCTTCTGAAACTACTTTGTGTTTATTGTTTTAAACAGATATTTTACTATGGGAAAATCATTTTTACTACATCATCCTGATTGGCAACTCAACCACTTGCAATATTGTCCATCACATTTGTGTTCCACTTACAATATTGTCCATCACATTTGTGTTGGCATTAGGGACATACTCAGTGAGAAAGTGGTGAAGGAGCCTTTTGTAGCGCAATGGATCTACATTGTACAAGTATTTCTAGAATAATAGCACTTAACCACCTAACTTCCCTAAATGGCAGAAGATTTTTTGATTTATGAAAAATAAGTTTCTTTGATGTTCTTTTAGACTGCTGATGATTATTTAAATATATTTTATTATATTTATAA